ACAAAAAAAAATAAAAACATCTACAATCAACAATTACTTCAAACAAAATGAACAAAAATAAGCATGCAAAATAAAAACTAAATCAAATAAACTATAAGAAACTACAACTACAAAAACAAAAAAAACATGCAAAATAAAAAATTAATTTGAATAAAACGAACTTAATGAATTCTACTAGATAGAGCATGCAAGATAAAGAACTATTTCAACTACTGGGTCATCTTTGTCTTCTCCAACGTCGATCTGAAACAGATACGGTGGCAAACAGATTAATAAAGAGCAATTGAAATTAAGTATATCAAGTATCCTCACCTTAATTAATTATAGAACGTAACATTCCAAAGTTTACAGGTGTGAAAAGTAAACCAACTCCAGGAAGAATATTGAAGCAGAGAATTTCTCATTTCGGTGGAATTCAAATAAATATCCAGTTGCACTCGCTCATGGGTTGAAAATTAACTGCATGATGTTACAAGGCGAAGACAAAACAGCAAATCAAGAATATAATCCAGCAACGATCACACCCATGTAGACATGGGCTCTTTCAGTATAATCAAACTGAACATTAATTCTCTCTCATTTATTGTGTAACCTGCAGAAATGGACAAAAAATATATTAATTACACATATAATTAAGAAACACAAATAAAAACGCACCAAAAAGCAAGTAAAATAGCTGAATTAAAAAATAAACAAACAACAACTTTACGCCATTTTACATCACAACCATAGATCACGACATAGATTAACGTCAAATAACACGTCAATTTACGACATAGACAACAGAAAAAGATTAAAAAGAAAATCCATAGATAGATAAACTTCATAGATAAACTCCATACATACATCAATGATAAATATCAATTTATTCTGTGGAAAATAAAAACTGTCAAGTGATATTGATGCACACTAACCTCAATTTAGACTGTTGACAATAGCTAATTGTTAACAGAAATTTCATAACAGATTAATAAAGAGTAATAAATATTGATCAAGTTATGTATTCTTACCTTAATTAATTGTAGAGTGGCGTTCTAAAGTCTACCAGTGTGATGAGCAAATCAACCAAATCTAGGATTTGTTGTTCCGGTTGCATCCAAATTAATTAATTTCCAATTGCCTCCTATTGTTACGGCAAAAATAAATTGCAATTCCTTCTCATTTGTGGGACAACAATCTATATGGAAACAGGCAAGAAAAAGTAATTAATTACCATTTTTAAATCGAATAAATCAGTATAAATCAGTAACATGCACACTAATGGAAAGACCTGTTCCACATTAATTCTGCTTCTTCCATTTCTAAAACGTTGTTTAAAATTGTCTATTGAAGCAAATTACAAATGTCTAAGAAATTGAAGTT